TTATTCCTTATAAACCTCATCCGCTCTCATATTCCCAATCAGCATTCATAATTATCCGGTCCAAGGCTCCATTTTCCACCCCGTGAGATCCTGTGCTGGGAATCCGCTCTGGCAGCTGCCAGGGGTTCAGCACGTCTTTGTTGTGAGTGACTGGATGAAATACTACCCTGCACTCTTTTGGGGTTTAGGGATCGGGATTGGATCAAAGGCATGTTAGAAAGTGTTTTGAAGGCAGAGCCAATCCAAACTGTTGCTAAAAGAATAAAAGCCACTGATCTGTTCAAGAAAGGTTCAAAACAACGTAAGCAGCACAATTCAGATTTAATGTTGACTGATAAGTAACATAACTTGAATTGAGCCCAGAACATTCTCAGACTCATCTGACAAAGAGAAATAATAATGAAACGTTCCCTGCTTGAGGGCATCTGTCTGCAAATGTGTTTATCTGTGACGTCAACAAAAAAGCATCTGTGTCACAGAATTTACATGGACATCAGAATCCACCCTGCACTTCGTTATTGATATTTGAAGAATGACTTCTAGATACATATTACTGATATTAGGAGAATCACATTTACATGCCACTGTGTCCAGAATGTGCTTCATTTTATAGAAAGAATGTCTATGAACCATTACACAACCACTGAAACCCCTTAAAAGATATCTTGCCGCATTACAAAGAAAATGAATGGTGATTTATGCTGCCAAGATCCAAAAGGACACCAATAAAATATAGTCTTCATTTTATGCAATAGTTTTAAGTTGTACACTGATCAGGACTTCTCTAAAATCGTTCACCTGATAAATGCCAAACCTGCTGTGATGCATCTAAAGCCACTCGTTTGAAAATGAACTGAAATGACATTTGAGAGTTGTTTTGAGGGGAGATTATCAGTAAATTTCAAACTATTCCTCACACTGTCAAGCTTCAAGAAGCAACCTAAAGGATCATAAAAGAAGTCCAGGTTCTCTGAAGCCATATGATATATTGTGAACTACTTTTACGATATTTTTTGCTGCTTTTTGTCCTTTTTGAAGCTTGACAGTATGCATTTATGTATGAAAAAGAGCAACTCAGACATTGAGCTTCATGGAAGACAACAATACAGGGGGTCACGAAAAGTGCATTTTTGTATTTGTCAACTGTTGCCCCCTCCTACATGTTATTCTCATTTCTCACTATCGCTGTTTGTGTAAGAGCCTCCTTAAAAGGTGTTAATGAAAGCCATAGGGGTCTAAGAACCTCCTTCCCATCTGCAGACAAAGCATGACTCTTGAGGGACCGTCCCGTTTCAACCGAAACCTCCTGCCGATCAGTATCTGCCCTCCTTCAACTTCATGTATTGTTTTAGTGATCGACTATTTTACATTTCCAGAAGCCAAATCATTTATATCTTTGTGGATTTTCTGTGCTGATTTGAATTTGAAATTATGAGCGTTTTTAAAACGCTCTGCGGTCTACCAATCTTAAGCGTTTAAAACAGTAAGCAATAGTAATCCTTTAGCAAGCAACACCAATGCTCATCGTTGCATCATCCTTCCTCCCTTACGTTATTTTTCTCTTAGTTCTCAATTAATCATTTTCTCCTCTTCATATTTTTGGACTGTGGATGTAGCCTCTCATGGGGAATTACAAACCCAGGGGGTCAGGAATGTAATCCTGGTGCAATATCCATGGTCTCATTCCATCTGGGATCCTTTCTGCCTGTCTCTCTCCAATAAATATATGCTCTGTATCTCTGTTTCAAACACATCTTGTCTTCTCAGGCCTGGTTAGGATGAAACCACCAGGCTTTTTGAGAACGATCACATGTCCTCACTCATGGAATTGATACCCCCTGGTTTGGAGAACTGACCTGACGATTAACTCTGCTTTAACAGCTTCTCTCTTGAAACAAGCCACCACACACATCCTGCCACTTCCTGAAGATCCACATCTCACACTGTCTAGCTTTAGACCAACCACACTAAAACTGGCAAAAATCAAAAGGCTTATTAGCTAAATGATGAACCAGCCATAGTCTATGGATTAATGGCTTCATCTGCAAACTGACACTGGGTAAACTGAGCAGAAACATTTAATATTTTTATATACAGCCTTATATAGCCTACCATTAGTTTTGGCAAACAGAGACTTTAATGTAATTGTACTCTTACATTTTTTTAGGCTTCTCTGATTGGCTTGTGTAAAAAAGGAAGTATCCCATTAAAGCTGATGTATAAACAAGATAGAAATGCTACATTAATAACACAAATTGTTTAATCTTTTCATCATCATCGACTATTTTTGTAAAAACTCACGAGTTTTGACGGAACCAAGTCACTCATTGTTTAAATATATGATTTAGGGTCTGCGTTTTTCTTTTCAACTTTTGTAACGTCTGTTAAATTCGGGGCAAGACGACACATCGTGATTATAGCGTTTAATGATGGCAAAATATGTAGAGGAGACGTTAAAAACACTGGTTTTGCGTAATTAAATTAAGAATACTGCTGTTGACCGAACTTGTGTAGCTAATGAATATTAATTAGACACGCCGATTATATTAATATTCACAAGCTAAATCTTCAACATGATTCGCTAGCTGTCTAATGCACACTAACGTTTAAGCCAATCAGGTAGGCTTATTAGAGAACCTCATTTTATTAATGAATATTTATGAATCAAGCTGTCATCACAACAGCATTATACTAATACCTCTACGCTCGAGAAAAGCGACTGGATACACCAAAACATTGAGGTTCTTGTCGGTGTGATTTCTCCAAATATGTACGTATTGACCAAAATTATATGGCTTTAAACCACAACAGACAATTAAAAGGAGCAGCTGAACTAAATGTGAGGAAAGCAGCGTGTTAGTGAAGAATAGTGTAAAGTAATATTATACACAATCGACCACGAACTATGACAGCGACGGTCTTTTTTGTAGAGCTGAGTGTTGGTTTCAGGCCAAAACCTGAGAGGACGAAAAGTTGTTTTTCAGTTTTAAAACAAGCTGACACACGCCCATCAGTCTCGAGGACGTTCTACAATAAACAAATGTCAGAATCAGGGTCGTTCACGCAGAACGCGCTCGGGACGCAACGACATTTAAAAAAAAAACGCAGGGGTTTTGAGATGCGCTTGTAAAACGTGAACCACGATATTAAACCGTTTGCAAAAGGTGCAAAACGCGACTGACAGCCACATACGCCAGTATGACGCATATCTACACAGACCGGTTATTAAAAAACAGCTCAAGAGCGCGTTCTGTAAGACTAGTCCAGAAATAAAGTCCAGAGTAGATTTACCTTGGACCGCAGATAAGAGATGAAAGCAGAGCAACAGAGCGCAAAATACATCCATCAGTCCTGATCTCCTGTAAACGTTCACGAAACTGTTGCAATGTCTTCAGTGTATGCCCAAAGTCCTCAACAGTTTCTCCAGCTGTGGTGACAGAAATCTTATGCAGTCTTCCTCTTCCTCTTATTCCCGTGTATTGTGAACTGAGCTGCTCTGTGGGCTCTTACAGTAAGCTACTTCTCAGAATCATATCAGAAGTAAAGCAGTGAAACAAGAAGCCCTAGTTCACTTATTAGTCTATTTCCCTCCTCCCTCCAAAGCTCTGACTCCTCCCACTACACTGCACTGCAACTTGCTTTTTTCTTTAGGCTAATAATAGGTCATCTACTTAATATAATGACATATATAAAATAATAAAACAATTATTTTGGCTTTGAAGTGTGAAGTTTAAAGCAGTTTTTTTTATTTGACATGTTTTATCTGATGCCTTATTGTTTTAAAACATACTTGAATTATTATTTTCATGGTTTGTTTGTTTATTTTGGTAATATTTAGTAATGTAATTCAAGAAAAAAGGTACATCTACTTATATACTGACATGTAAAAGAATGAAATATAACTTTTTGAAGTGATTTTTAAAAAATGATGTTTTATCAATTATCTATTTAAATTGAATTATAATAATTATTGTAAAGCATTATAATTTAAATTTATTTATTTGTTTATTTTTAGTAATATGTGGGCTATTAGGCCTATATAATTAATTAATTGATATATTTTATTGTAATTATTATTATTATTATTATATTTAAGTTTCTGGACATTTATTTTTCTGCAATAAAAATGTGTATAAGTATTAACATATGTAATTTTAATGATAATAATGCTAATTAATGTTAATTATAATAATGATAATAAATCAGTTTGTCCACTATCCTGCAGATAAAGTTTTAATAATTTAATTTGACTTTAGTACAGATATTAATTAATATTTGAAACATGTTGTGTTTATAATAACACACACATTTTTTCTGATAATATAAATAAAAATGTAAAATTGCCTTTATATTTTAGGGTGGCTGTCCCCCTCAGGGTCTTTTTATCAGCAGACAAAGATCAGTTTTAAACAGACTTTGGATGATAAGATATTGATTATAAGATGTTCCTCTTGAGACCATATTTCGAATTTTTGTCATAGTTGGCCAAATTTTGGTTCCAGCACTTATGAGAACTGCTTGAGTGAACTTTGAGGGGATCTGATACCTGTCGATAGCATCAGACACCAGAGAAAATGCACACATCAGTAAACTCCTGCCATCACGCACGCATGCCATCAGGTTATGCAAATAACATTCAAACATGCTACACTAGTTCACCATGATACCACGAGATAATGGTTGCTCCACATGCATAGTCTGTTCAGAAGAAAACATGCAAATACTCATCCAAAGGCCATAAACATTGCCCTACTAACTAGACATGCAGCATGTTCACAGATCAGTAACAGATTCTGTAACATATGATTGATTGATTTAAATGAAATAGTATGATTAAAGTTAAATTTTTTTCAGTCCATTTACATTCTTCCCACATTTTTTAAGGGGATTTTTTTATTAGTTTATGCATACGGTATATCTATCCTGTTGGATTTCCCTAGTTATTACTGTAAAATATTACAAGTATTTCACGTTTTATTGTTTGTCATCCGTTTCCACAGACGTCCACCACCATTTGGGTCCGTATAATTGATGAAAACGACAACGCGCCTGAGTTTCCGGAGGAAGAGTATGTGACGGAGCTCAGAGAGGGGCCAAACACAGTAGGAGCCATTATCGCAACGGTTACTGCGATCGACCCGGATGAAGAACTCAACGGAACCATCCGTTATGCCATCTCCAAGGGCAACCTGGCCCAGACGTTCCAGATCAATAGCATAACGGTGAGGGGGTCCGAGAGTGACAGACACGAACCCAGGATTGATTTAGAGACACTGAAGTGTTTATTGTCATTATATAGATATTTTATTTTTTGTACAATAGGTAACCTTTTAACTTTTATTTGAATGCTCCCCTAATATTCAGATCAGTAGTCAGTGAGTATGTATCAACTGCTCTTAAACTGTTTCCTCAAATCCTAAATATGGTGTTATAACCTTGATGCACATACTGTATCAGTTGTTATTTATGTATTATTACTTACCATATGTGACCCTGGACCACAAAACCAGTCATAAGGGTAAATTTAGTGAAATATACACCATCTGAATAAATAAGCTTTACATTGATTGTTAGGATAGGACAATATTTGGCCGAGATACAACTATTTGAAAATCTGGAATCTGAGGGTGCAAAAAATCTAAATATTGAGAAAATCAACTTTAAAGTTGTCCAAATTAAGTTCTTAGCAATGCATATTACTAATCAAAAATTAAGTTTTGATATATGCTACTTATGACTGGTTTTGTGGTCCAGGGTCACATGTGTAGTTTTAAAGAACTGCATTATTATTTTAACCCAACCAGTAATTTTTCAATTTCAATACTTAGAGTTTGCATAGATTACATTCATAACCAATTTGCATAATGAGTCAACACAGTTGATTATATGTAGTTTTCCTATAAATGAGCCTGAAAAGGCCAATATAAGTGTAAACACTGAAATAGTGACAAATACTGAATGCGAAACTTTTTTGTGGTCAAAAATAGTTTGTTTCTCGCAGTCAGTAAGATTTTTGAAATTTTTCTAAAAGAAGTCTCTTATGCTTACCAAGGCTGCATTAATTAGATTAAAAAAAAAACATTAAAAACAGTAATATTGTGAAACATTATTGCAATTTAAAATAACACTTCCCTATTTGAATATATTTAAACTGTAATTTATGCAATGTTGAATTTTCGGCATCAGTCTTCAGTGTCACATGATCCTTCAGAAATCATTCTAATATGGTGATTTGCATTACTTATGTTGAAAACTTAAAAAAAAATGTTTTTTTTGAAATTGTGATATAACATCCTTTGATGAAAAGAAAGGTTAAATGAACAGCATTTATTTGAAATAGAAATCTTTTGTAACATTATAAATGTCTTTACTGATCAATTTAATGCATCCTTGCTGAATAAAAGCATATTTTAATAAATGTTCAAAAGAGACATGATAGTTCACAAAAGACTTCCTGAGAATGATTCATATACTCCACTGCTGTGCGTGTTCAAATTGTGTTTGTGTGTGTTCACAGGGTCAAATCGTGGTCATTAAGGAGCTGGATTATGAGATCAGTAATGGTCATTATGTGCTGACTGTCACAGCCACAGACCAGTGTCCTATACCTCAGTTCAGACTGACCTCCAGCACCACAGTGAGTTCATATCTGCTACACACACGTATACAGTCCTCATAATTCCTTTATATCACACTCACACACTGTCCTGTACCACAGGTCCTGGTGAATGTGGTAGACGTGAACGATAACGCACCCATCTTCCCGAGACCATTTGAGGGTCCGTTTGAAATCACAGAGGGGCAGCCGGGCCCACGTGTGTGGACCGTTAAAGCCACGGACGCCGACTCGGGATCCAACGGAAAAGTGGAGTACAGCATCACCGCAGGCGACCTGAAAAGTGTGTGTGTGTGTGTGATAGACAGCTGATTCGGATTCGATCAGTAAAATGATTAGTGTTGATATTTGCTGTGTTTTTTGTCTGCCTTTAAAAATGTGTTGTTCCTTTCTATCTGTCTCTGTTTCTTTCTGTCTCTCTTTCCCAGATGAGTTTGTAATTTCATCTGTTGAGGGAGAGTTAAGAGTGAGAAGAGATGTAGAGCTGGACAGAGAAACTATCGCCTATTACAACATCACCATTACTGCCAAAGATCTGGGAACGCCAGCGCTCAGCGCTACGGTGAACACCCCCCACACACATTCAGTTCATATTCTTCTACTATGCACAACATTATGAACTGATGGGAAAGTACATGCTTTTGAGTATGTGGAAAGACAATGTGCCATTATTGGGACATACTAAATTGCACTGACACCACAAACCTCTTTGTTGTGTACACTTTGCATTTGTAAATAAGCATCAAGCTAAATTAATTACATTAGAATGACAACAGGCCCATCTTCACCCAGTCCAGCTACAGGGGCGAGATCAGTGAAAACTCACCCACAGGTTCTCGTTAACCACATCTTGATTCTCAGAAATGAAGATTGTGTAGAGATCCTCTCTTCAAAGAAAGGGCAGAGAAGAAAAGCTTTTTTCTTCTGCGTTGATTGCCTTTGTCATGACAAATCTTTTAAAACACAAGTTTGTTGCACTATTAAAACACTGGGCGACTTTCAAATTGTTTGCAAATTTGCAAAAGTGGCTTCTTCTAAAGTTTCTGACATTTGATGTTAACACTTGATCATCGCTCACATAATGCAAATCTGTAACCCATAAGTAGGCACAAGTCTTAAAGGTTAAAAATTGACAAGTCAGATTAAATTTTTAAAGCACTTTAAATGGTACAAATTGTCATTATTCAGCTTAATGTTGATTCAATTCAGTTCAATAACAGTGATGATGTTGCAAAGTGCATCAATTATAAAACATATTCAATTCAGCAATAAGCAGGTCTACAGAATATACTCATTATTCAGTTCAGTTCAGGTCAATGTTGATTCATTTCTGAAGTAAAACTGTCGACGTTGCATCAGTTATTAAATTAATTTGATTCAGGAATAAGGCAGCTCTACAGAAGACAATGATAACATTATAGTGTCATTCAAGTTTTGTTCTCATCTGAGAGCAGTCAAATCAGTAACATTTTCTTAATATTAGTTGTCTTTTAAACCCCAACTGAGCAAGATAAAGGCAACAGTAACAAGGCTTAAATGGCTCCTCTGGCTTAAATTGTGGTTAACAGTGTGATTCGGGATTTCAGGTGGCATTACAAGTATGACATTATTCAATAATCATGAAAGTAAGCATGAAAAACTAGATTATGACTCTCTTGGGTAGCCGAAGTTGGAGGAAGAGTGATGGTTATGACTCATTTAACATGAGATCAAAGCTGAACCTCTGAAGCCAAATATCTGAACCTCTCTCTGTCTGTCTGTCCATCAGGCACCACTGTGTTGATTCTAAACGGCCCAGTTCTAGCAGAGGACAAAGACATTGGGGAGAATGCAGTGGTGAGGTATCGTCTTCTGGGAAGCAGAGTGGACCTCTTCTCCATAGACTCCCGCACAGGTCTGACGTTCAGCACAGATGCTATGGGTTATGTCTGTTTTGTTTTCATGTTTTCCTAAATTGAAGGCCTCAGGACGTTTTAAAGAAGATATGTTGATATCTTCAAGAGATGATATCAAGAGGCTAATATTCAGTTTGACTGCTCACCTTGATGTAGTTTTTTTTTTGTAAGTGCAGTCCATTATTTTATTTTATTTCGTTTTATGCCACCAAATGGAAATGGAAAAATAAAAACAGATTTCTTAAACACTCCCCATCTGCTATTGGTTGAAAATCAGATAAACTCAAGCCATTTGTAAAGCCAGTATTGCTATGTCAGGTTGGTTGGGATGCTCAATAATAGAGTTTGCACTATTTAGTTTTCTTATAGTTGTCTTTGTATATTAAATTAAGAAAGTATTTTAAAATTAAATGAAGTTAAACTTTCAAAGTTGGTTATAAATCGGTCTTTTTTCCAATGATTAAATGGTCTTAAATTGAATTCCTTTAAACATGCAGATACTTTTATATCTGTGGTATCAATTATACAAGATAACAGTCCTCCTACCTTTCATACACCCACAGAGTTTCTCGTAATCAAGCACTACTCCCGCTCATGACACGTTCTCTTTCACGCCCCCTCTCTCTATCTCTAGGGGTGGTATCAGTGCGTGGGGGTGCTGTACTGGACCGGGAGGCTTTCTCTGTGCAACGGGTGGAGCTGTTTCTGCTTGGGGAGGATGTGGGAGGTTTAAACAGCACAGTTCCACTCACTATCACCATCCTTGACATAAACGACAACCCACCTGTCTTCAATCCATCCAGTTTCACTGTACACCTGCCAGAAAACAGCCCCACAGGTGAGAGAGACAGATGATACAGGTGGGTGAACTGGTAGAAAAACGAGTTTACTCTGGTTTGTTGGGCCCCATTGTAGTGTAATTGGGAGTGTGTTGTTGTTATAAATTAATATTGATGATAATAATAATGTTATTCATGACTTTTTAAAATATGTTTTTATAATTTTTTATAAGATTATTTATTTACAAATGTATTACTTTTTAATGTATATATGTGACCCTGGACCACAAAACCAGTCATAAATAGCACAGGTATGTTTGTAGCAATAGCCAAAAATACATTGTATGGGTCAAAATTATTGATTTTTCTTTTATGCCAAAAATCATTAGGATATTAAGTAAAGATCATGTTCCATGAAGATATTTTGTACATTTCCTACTGTAAATATATTAAAACTTAATTTTTGATTAGTAATATGCATTGCTAAGAACTTCATTTGGACAACTTTAAAGGCGATTTTCTCAATATTTAGATTTTTTTGCACCCTCAGATTCCAGATTTTCAAATAGTTGTAGCTCGGCCAAATATTGTCCTGTCCTAACAAACCATACATCAATGGAAAGCTTATTTATTTTCAGCTTTAATATGATGTATAAATCTCAATTTCAGAAAATTTACCCTTATGACTGGTTTTGTGGTCCAGGGTCACATATGTTTCTAAATTTAAATAAAGCTGAAATAAAATAAAATTAAGTGAAATATAAATGCAAATATTGCATGAAAAACAACAAAAAATGTATACATAGTGTGTTTTATGTATTATTGTGTGTATTTCCAGGTGTGGTAGTAACACAGCTCTCGGCGAGTGATGTTGATGCGGGCTCTAACGGTTGGCTGCAGTATCGCTTAGACAGCGGCGCTCAGGACCGTTTCATCGTTGATGCTCTCTCTGGTGCCGTTGTGGTCGGCAATGCTACGCTGGACCGAGAGGAGCGTAGCTCGTACCGTCTAGTTGTCATATCAACTGACCGAGGCACACCCCCTCTCTCGGGAACGGCGACGTTAACTGTTGTTCTGGACGATGTCAATGACTCCCGTCCTCGTTTCATAAGGCCTGTGCAGACCATCAGCGTTAACGAGTCAACACCGCCAGGAGAGGTCATAGCTACGCTCACCGCTGAGGACCCTGATCTACGACCTCGCCTGGAGTATTACATCATCTCTGTGGAAGCAAAGGATGATGGGAATAATCCAGTGGATGGGCTGCAGCAGTCATTTGGAATTGACTTTTACACAGGTGAGCGATTATGTCTTAAGAGACGTCACTTGTAGCTCTTCATTTGGAATTCAGGAACTAAACATTTTTATTAAAAATCAATTTTCTATGGAGAAAATGAATGTGATTTTACTTCCGAGAACCATGTTGTGTTGTGTTGTGTTGTGTCTCAGGTGCTGTTTTTGTACGAAACCCCTTGAACCGAGAGCTTGTTGCCACTTTTGAGATCATTGTATCAGTGCATGACAACGCCAGTGATATTATTGACATGTCCGTCAGTGTACCCAATGGTAAGAAAGATCTTTCTGTCAACTTACTTTCCGTCTTTCTCTCCCTCCTGTTTTCATTTTTTCATCTATTTAATTTGCTCACCCTCAGGTCATCCAAGATGTAGATGAGTTTGTTCACTGGAGCAGATTTGCATTTAAATAACCAATGGATCCTCTCCTGTGAATGGGTGCCGTCAGAATGAGAGTCCAAACAGCTGATAAACACATCACAATAATCCACATGTAATCCACACCACTCCATGTCTCGTGAAGCAAGAAGCTGGTTTATTGCAAATATGCTTGTGGCTTATTAACATTACTTGTGGATTATTGTGATGTTTCGAGCAGCTTTTCGAACTCTCATTCTGACGGCACCCATTCACTACAGAGAATCCATTGGTGAGCAAGTGATGTAATGCTAAATATCTCCAAATCTGTTCAGATAGAGAAACAAACTCATTTACATCTACAACTACTACTTTAAGATTGATCACATTGCAGTCTATTGAAAAGACCTGTATGTGCTCTGGGTGCTGGTAACTAGTGGGACACTATGTCCACACCAGGCTTATTAGCAAGCTTGACCAGCAAAGTTAAGCAGGTTTGCCAGAAACCATGCTGGTGACCAACTTCCAGTTTGTCAGGTTTTCCTTCTTATGATTGCCAATCTTGACCAGCACTAAACCAGCGTGAGGGGGACATTTTATTTATTTTCCTATTTCCAGGAAATTAACTAATTGAAATTTAATTTCTGTCCACAGCCAAACTGACCATCAACGTGCTGGATGTGAATGACAACGCTCCTCGTTTTCGTCCTTTCGGGGTAGCGAACTTCTCCGAGAGGATTCTGGAGGGTGCCGTGCCTGGTACCACACTGCTGTCGGTGACTGCTGTGGATCCTGATAAAGGACCCAACGGTCAGATCATCTATCAGCTCCTACACCTGCCCCGTGGAGACTACATAAGACTTGAAGACCCATCTACAGGTTACACACATAAACACATTCGCATTTCTATTGGCTTTAACCATAAACCCTAAGAAACAGAAGCTTGAAAAATGGGTGTTGCCGATTTAATTTTATCTCTAATCTGCATGGTGCATGTTTTTCAAAATCACTATCCACAGGTAAAATTGTGGCCAATCGGACAGTGGATTATGAACAAGTGCAGTGGTTAAACTTCACGGTACGTGCTCAGGATCACGGCACGCCTCCTCGCTTTGCTGAACTTCCTGTCTATCTGAGGATTGTTGATGTCAACGACAACAACCCAGTCTTTCAACAACCTTTATATCAGGTAAATCAGTACAAACCAGAGAAACAGGGTACTGTGCAGATGTAATGTTTTTCTTTCCTACTCAATTCAGGAAGTATTTTAATTCTGATAGAGGATATTACAGATGTGAAGCTCATGCAGTGGGATCAAAGTTTGACACTTTAGTGAAAATGCTTCTGGGTTGCTTTTTGCTTATTTAATGCAAAATCTTAATGACTAATTATAGTAACTACGAATTTTAAATATGGCCAGTGCTTATTTATATGATTATGTAGTTAGAAGTCTTTATGCATTTTCTAATACCTTTTACTTGTCACAGTTTTCAAAATCAGTTTATTTCAGGATTTAAATGTGATTTTAAATATTTTCAATGTTGCTATAGGATTTTCAGTTTCCATACACAAAAAAAAAAACATTAAGCAGCACAACATTGACAATAATAAGAACTGTTTCTTGAGAACCAAATCAGCATATTTGAATGATTTCTGAACGATCATGTGACACTAAAGACTAGAGTATTGATGCTGGAAATGCAGCTTTGCATCACAGGAATAAATACAAATTAAAAAATATAGTCAAATAAAAAACAAAAAAAAAACATTTTTTTTAATTGTAATAATATTTCACACACTATTGCAGTTTTTTCTGTATTTTTCATCAAATCAAGCGTTGGTGCACATAAAGTAAGAGACGGAGATTTTGTGTATGTTTGTGTGTGCAGAAGTCTATTTTTGAGGATGTTGCACTCGGCACTATTATTGTAAGCGTGAGTGCGACAGATGCAGACTCTGGCCTGTTCTCTGTCATTGAATACGGGCTAGTGGATGGAGAGGGCAAGTTCGGCATCACACCCACTACGGTGAGTGTGTTTGGTGTGAAAACAAAACAAAGACAATAACACATGCCATTTATGTTCATTTTTAATGTCTTATGTTATCAGGGTGACATCTACATCCTGTCTGCCCTGGACAGAGAGACCAAGGACCGTTACACTCTCACAGCCTACGCCAGGGACAACCCTGGAGGCAGCCCCAACAACCGCAGGGAAAACTCTATTCAGGTACATGCAATGTGTGGATGAGCTGAAAAATATGGAATTACCTCAGAAATCATATGATCCACATCACTTCATAATTATTACTTCCAAACTCAAAAGTAGGAACTCGGAGGCACCATATGTTGTCCTTTATTAGAGGCCAAATAAAAATATGTTTATGGCTCGTTTCAGACACAAAAAGATGAACTTGTGTCATAATTTTATCTCAATGTGAAATCAACATTCAAACAACCTGTTCTGCAAATTGTAAAGTCCAGTTGACCACAGGAAGAAAAACCAAACATGGATAAAATGATTTGAGCAAGAGACTTTGACGCAGTCAAGGTGGAGTCTCCTTCACTTCCAGTTCCTGTTTAAGGAGGGTATGAAGAGAGCATCAGCTGTGCAAATGAGGTTTCACAAGATGTGAAGTGTTTGTGAGGTGGCCGAGTGTTCAGCTTGCACTTCCTCTATTCACACTGTTGTTATGAGGAAATGGGAAGTATAGAAGCAAAACAAGCAGAAATGTAAAATACCATCAGCTGATGCAATTTTCAATGCAAACTTTGCATAATATTGACTTACTAAAAGCTACAAATGCGACTAAAATCCCATTACAAATCAACTTTGGTGAGTCCAGATGGCCAGTAACTGTTTCAGGATCTGTATCATCATTATATGTTTTAATTGGAATTGTTGGTTTGCTGTATTCCCAACCAGTGTTCAGATATCAAACTCTCTTGTACATGTTTGCATTTTTTGAACAGAGAGTTTCAGTTTCATGTGAACAGTTTTGCATGAGCTGACCTCAAATACTTTGAAAAACAACCAAAACAGCTTTTGTTACTCCACCTTAACACCTCTGAATCAGATCTCTGAGCTCCATCTTTCTCTCTCTGTATCTATCAGGTGCAGTTAACAGTCCTGGATGTAAATGATTTCCGTCCACGCTTCTCAGAGAGAGTTTTCACCACTAGTGTGTTTGAGAATGAGCCGGTTGGTACGTCAGTGATCACAATGAAGGCCATTGACCTCGATGAGGGGGAGAATGCATTACTTACTTATAGTCTACAGGGTCCTGGAGCGGGTAAATCACACACACACACACACACACACACACACACACAGCTATACAGAAATATAGATACATGGGTTGCAAATTTAAGATGAAAGAATTGGCTCTTGGAATTTGAATTAAATTGGATTTCTGTTACTTTTTATAGTAAATTATACACACACACATCATTTTAACTTACATAATTTTATTTTAACTTACTATTCACCATCGTGTTTGCTACCTTGATTCAAAATCATGTGATTAATTGGAAATTCAAGCCATTCTCAATTTACTTTCCATGTACAATTTGATAAACACACTCGAGTAAGGCTTACATAGTTTGATGATGTTTCTGATGTCTCTTCCTCTCTCTATCACAGATGCATTCTCTCTGGATCCTGACACTGCACACACACACACACACACACACACACACACAGCTATACAGAAATATAGATACATGGGTTGCAAATTTAAGATGAAAGAATTGGCTCTTGGAATTTGAATTAAATTGGATTTCTGTTACTTTTTATAGTAAATTATACACACACACATCATTTTAACTTACATAATTTTATTTTAACTTACTATTCACCATCGTGTTTGCTACCTTGATTCAAAATCATGTGATTAATTGGAAATTCAAGCCATTCTCAATTTACTTTCCATGTACAATTTGATAAACACACTCGAATAAGGCTTACATAGTTTGATGATGTTTCTGATGTCTCTTCCTCTCTCTATCACAGATGCGTTCTCTCTGGATCCTGACACTGGGCTGATTCGCTCCCTGCGGTTCCTGCAGAGTTTTGAGAGGTTTAATCTGACTGTGGTGGCGACCGATCATGGCAGAACGCCTCTCTGGGGAACCGCCAGTCTTCAGATCACCGTCATAGATGTCAATGATAACAGGCCAATCTTTGTGCGGCCTGCCAATGGCACTATCATGCACATACTAGAGGTGTGTAGCAGTGAAAAACCAATCGCTCATTTTTATTACTAAATCCTATTTTCTTTGTTTGAATGTGATGTTGAGTGAATGCAGGCTTTCTCACTCATCCTGCAAATTACAACTCGACCACTTTGATGTATTCTCAGTTCTCCCACAGCACTCTTCTTTTGTCTTCCTCATTGTCTTTCTCACATCACAGGACTTCATAGGAATATCCATTACATGTAGCTGCCTAGTTGCATGCTGAAACACGCAGTAGAGATCTCGTGTTTGCTTGTGTGGTCAAGCTTCCTGTGTACGTCTGACAGCCAAAGTGAAAAGATCGTGTTTCAGATCTTTATGATCATTTTGAAGCCCTTTATTCCTGAGCCCAAGTGATGAAACCCACCCCAGTGACTCAGAGATGTTAACCGTAGTGTCATCATAGCAGATAGTATTTTGAGGACTTTGAGGAAACTTTGTAAGTTCCTCTTGCAGTAAAGACAAGTCTTTAAAACCTTTCAGAAGCACTAAATGGCACATAAAAATATAAATTAAGAGATTCCCTGCTTTCAATTCTGACTGAAATCTCTCGCATGGACGAATGTTCCGATACTTTGTTCAATACCACTCAATACTTTGTCCCAAATCTGTCACATGGAGGTCTGTCAAATTTCATCTGGACTGTGAGAGATCGGATGACCTGTTTTTGTTCAGGGTCAGACATCATGTAGGAGTGAGCATTCGGTCATGTTTTGTGTGTGTTGTTGCAGGAACAGCCTCCTGGGCTGGTGGTGTATGAAGTGTTTGCCACAGACGAGGATGAGGGGGTGAACGGAGAAGTCCGGTACAGCTTCCTGCAGACTGGAGCAGGAAATAGGGACTGGGAGAACTTCCATATTGATGCAGTGAACGGAGTGATCACCACTGCAGTTAAACTGGACAGAGAGAAACAAGCCCTGTACAGTGTGAGTCTTTCTTTCTAACCAGACACATTTCAAAATAAAAGACAATTGAAAACAGCAGGAAACCTTCAAAAATTATGCAATAATTGTGCAATATGTGCAGCTGGTTGTGGTGGCGTATGACCTCGGGCAGCCCGTCCCATATGAGACCATGCAGCCGCTGCAGGTGGCTCTGTCTGACATCGACGACAATGAACCTGTTTTTCTTAAACCTCCGGTAATGTTTTGATCATTTTGTTTTTGATTATCAGATATATCACTATTTTTCAAGTACAGACTATAGGCCAGTTGGCCAGTTTAATATTAACCCTGTAAAACCTGACTATGAAATAATAGTCAAAAAGACCTATTTTATTTAATGAAACTTTTAAATGAAACTTTAGACAAAATATTTGTTTGCATTTGTGTTTATCACATTTGATACATCAGGCTTTTATGCATCATCATAATATAATATAATATAATATAATATAATATAATATGAAGCTCATACTCGAGGAGGAAAAGAAAACACCTCAATTTTATAAAGAGGGCAAAAACTAGCAAAACTATGCAATTTGGTGCTGTTGCTGATAATTATTAGGCTAATCTGAAATTCTGATAGATTGTAATGTAAATCAATAAGATCTTTATATCAGTATAATAGACTACTTACATAAAATGCATATAAATATCAGTTGCACTCTGTTCCTCCCCATAATATCTTAGTAAGACATTTAAAAGCTTGGTTTTATGATCAAAACTTTGATTATGGAACAAAATATAAAATGCAATGTGCTGCAGTAATGACTGAGAGATGTAAATCACATTCCTCAAAAGCCTGATGTATTGAATTTAATGCTCACATTTTAACATGATTTTTTTCTAAAAATGATGAACGGGTAATCAAGTAACCCTACGTTGCTTCAGTCTAGTAAATGTTTGTCTTGAATATTACTATCAAAAAGTTAAAAAAGTTATAAAAGTTATTCTTTTGCAGCAGAAAGTCGCATGTATGTGGATGTTTTCAGAAATTTACAAAAAAAATTTGCTTAAAGTAAAAACTTAATCAAATGACAGAAGGCATGTAGTAAACGGGTTTTTCAGCAAAGTTTTGAACATGTTGTTATTTTAAAGGCCTTAGAAATTTGCATATCAAATATAATGCAGTAGGCTTTAAAGGGACTTTTACATCATGAAATGTGATGGTTGAAATTTTTTCCCATCGCTTATTGCTTAAGTCTTGAATTCTGTGTGTTGCGTGTATTTCAGAGAGGAAGTTTGCCATATCAGTCTCTGTCTGTACCTGAGCACTCGTCTCCTGGGACCGTTGTGGGGAATGTGACTGGTGCAGTGGATGCAGACGAGGGCTCTAATGCTATCGTCTACTATTTCATTGCAGGTGCGAACACAACATTAAACAACAAAAATGAACCCCTATAGAAGCATTTACATCATTATACCATGCTTATCCAGAGTTTGGCTCCGTTCAGCTGTTTGAGGCTCCGAATTTCATGTGAATTGTAATTGGATTTTACTGAATTAAAATGTATCTGACAAGTAATCTCTCTTTGCTGAACATATTCATGAAAGAATATACAGTATATGAAGGTTAGTGAAGCAAGAATCTTTGATCAACTACTGTAGGTCAGGACTGTTTCTTCTTAGAACATTTCCGCCTGCAGTTACAAATGTACTACTCAGTTTGCGCAATTTTGTTGCATCAGTGGTGAAATTCAGATTTCTGAGAAACTTTGAATTTTTCTTATAAACTTAGCAGAACATTGGTAGTATTTCATACATGGCCAGTGTAAACATTTTATTAACTGCATTACTCATGCTCTTTTCTAGGAGGAGATTCTGAGGGAAACTTTGGTATGAGTGTGGCCGGAGTTCTACGGGTCAAAAAAGACCTGGATCGGGAAGAAATCCTAGTGTATTCCATCATCGTTAAAGCTTCCAGTAACCGAAGCTGGTCTCCTCCGAGAAGTCAAAGGTCACAGCGGGCCCAAGTGCTTGACCCAAGCCGTGACCCTACATTACAGGAAGTAAGAATCTTCCTTGAGGACATCAACGACCAGTCTCCAAGATTCACAAAGATGGAGTACACTGCAGGTAACAGATTTGTTGTATTTTGAAACCATTTTCAAAATTTTTCTTTTACGGAGGTGTAAAGAGTACCTGAAAACCATACTTGAGTAAAAGTACAGATACCTTACAGTGAAAATTACTCCACTACAAGTTAAAAGTCACCAATTCCAAAACAACTTGAGTAAAAGTCTTAGCGTATCTGAATTTAACAGTATTTAAGTATTTTTACTTGTATGAAATATAGGCTCAAAAAAGGCACTATACAAAGAGACATGCCAGTGAAAAACTGTAATGTTGTGGAGAAGCTGGAGAAAACAGGCAGAGGTAAGGATATATGTGCAGGTATTTAATGGAAAACCTAGAACAAACAATAAATCAAAAACCACAGGGAACAAAGAACAGATTGACGGACAAACAGACTACCATTACACTCAACAACTCACAAGGAACTAAAGAAACACCAGGGGTGTATAAACACAGGGGGCTAACAAGCATAACAAGATAACAAGACACACCTGGGTAGACTAATCAAGGGGAACCAATGAACAAACAGACTACAAACTGACTACAAACAACACGGGAGACAGGAAGTGACATAAAAGTCCAAGACAAGGCACAGAGAACGTGTAACAAAAACAATAAAGAGGTGATTTGTGAAGAGAGCATTCATTTTCATTTTCTAAAACCAATATCAAATTGCAAAAAAAGATCCTTCAAAAAGGTCAATTCAGTATAATGGATAAATAAAATACAGCGTTCTGGCATGAAACTCTCATACGCTCAATATTCAAACATTTGACTAGTGCTTGCCGTAGCAGTTATAATAATAATAATTCCTTACATTTATAGCGCTTTTCATAGAAGGGGGGAATCTCCTCATCCACCACCAGTGTGCAGCATCCACCTGGATGATGTGACGGCAGCCATATTGCGCCAGAACGCCCACCACACACCAGCTTATTGGTGGAGAGGAGACAGAGTGATGAAGCCAATCAGCAGATATGGGGATGGTTAGGAGGCCATGATGGCCAGAGGCCAATGTGCGAATTTGGCCAGGATGCCGGGGTTACACCCCTACTCCTTTTCAAAGGACATCCATTTTTAATGACCACAGAGAATCAAGACCTTGTTGTTACATCTCATCTGAAAGATGGTGCTTTTTGTCAGTATAGTGTCTCCGTCACTACACTGGGGCGTTAGGACCCACACAGACCACAGGGTGAGCACCCCCTGCTGGCCTCACTAACACCTCTTCCAGCAGCAACCTAGTTTTCCCAAGAGGTCTCCCATCCAGGTACTGACCATGCTCAACCCTGCTTAGCTTCAGTGGGCAACCAGTCTTGGGCTGCAGGGTGATATGGCTGCTGGTGATATGGCTGCTGCAGCTTGCTTCTGAAACCCTCCACCTTCCCGAGCTCCACCTGCATAGATCTGCTACGAGGTGATTCATGTATGCTATATGGGGGTTATTTCATGTATGTTATATTTGCAGCAGCAATATTTCTTACTTGCTCACAGAAGCATGTTGTGGATGTATTGGCAGTAGCAAGTCTCAGTACTTGCTCTGCCGCAGCAGCAGCGTAGCAGATCTATTCCGCCAAGACCAAATACATTAACATTGTCATGTACATTACCATGCCAATCCCTCTGAGAGTTGTCATGACAGAAATAATGTTAAGTAAAATTAAAAATGAATAGCCTTTTTGCACTGAATGTGCTGTTTCGACGTCATTGCCGGCTGCAGTCATGTCCTCATCTCAAATAGAAAACACCTGTGATTCACAACTACCTGCTAAGGAACTTACATTCACGTAATGTAGCTTTGTTGACAAGTTTGGGTGAGGAGGGGCTAGATAATAGTACTTTCAGTGCCTTGTAGTTGGTGATATCGCTAAAAGCTAGGTGCCATGCAAAATGTAATGTGTAATTGTAACACTCATTACAAATGTAGTGGAGTAAAGAGTACAGATGCTTATTCAAAAATATAGGGTAGTAGAGTAAAAGTTGCTAAGTAAAACTACAGAGTATTCAAAAAAAAGATACTCAAGTACAGTAATTAATTACATTTACTCAAATACTTTAGACCTCTGCTATTTTAGGTATTGCTTTTATTCATTTCAAATTTCCCACTGTTTTTAGGTCCATTTAATTTTGATCTTTCATTTACTTTGCAATACTTATTTATTTATTTGGTCTAAAACCCTCTAGCGCCACTATCGGCTCAGAACTGACTTTTTCTACTGCTTGCAACTCTTTGGTCTTAACTTCTACTTCTGCTTTTGCTGCTCATCTAAAATTGATTGAATTACTTTTCAATCTCGATCATCTTCGTTTAAAAAGTGTAAAATATATTTCTTCAAATAGACTTCTATAATCTAGTTATAAACTGAAAAAGTTGTACAAATAATTTATAAAAATATGGTAAAAAAAAATTGACAGTAAAGACAGTTTAATGTGACCTTCATGTAACAAAAATAAAAATAAATGTTATTTATATATTATGTAAATATTTTAATTGCTTTCACATTTTATTTTAATTCAATCCCTATGGCAACCTCTATGGTATGTACTGTACCTGTTTAGATAAGTAAACGTAAGCTTACCTGTCTCTCTTTCTCTGTCAGGTGTGGCTGCAGATGCTAAAGTGGGCTCAGATCTGATCCGGGTTCAAGCGATTGATAATGACATTGGCAACAACAGTCTTGTTCTTTATCACATTCTGTCTATCCGCTACATCAAACTGCATTCCAATGACTCTGAAGACATGGGCAACGTCTTCATCATTGGTGTGTGTGTGCTTTACACACTGTTTAACTTTCTGTTGAAATGTCAGTTAATTTAGATTGGTGTTATTTTTTTTAGTGACTCTTCTTTTTTTCCAGGTGAGACTGATGGAATCATCCGGACATTTGACCTGTTTATGGCTTATGATCCGGGTTATTTTGTGGTGGAGGTTTTGGCGAGAGATCTGGCAGGACACAGTGACGTGACTCTGGTGGGCATTTACATTCTCAGAGACGACCAACGGGTGAAAATCGTCATTAATGAGATACCAGAGCGTGTCCGACTGTTTCAAGATGAGTTTATAAACCTGCTCTCAAACATCACAGGAGCCATAGTCAACACTGATGACGTACAGGTACATGCGTGCTTGTGCTGTCATTATTACGATCATGAGAAATTAAATTACAATCCTTGTCTGTACAGTTATATCCAATATTTCTCCTGTCATGACCATGCAAATGAGTGAATCATATATTTCTTTCCTATAGTTTCATGTGGATAAAAAGGGAAGAGTGAACTTCGCTCAAACCGATGTTCTGATTCATGTGGTCAACAAGCAGACCAACCGTATTCTAGATGTGGAGAGGTAAGAGTTATGTACCAAACATGACCGATACATATCAAATGGGCGTTTCTTGAACTGTACATCTTGCTTTATTTTTTCAGGGTGATTCAGATGATTGATGAGAACAAGGAGCAGTTGAGGAATCTGTTTAGAAACTACAACGTTCTGGATGTTCAGCCTGCTGTGACTGCTCGTGCCCCTGACGACCTCACCACCTTACAGGTGTGTGTGTGTGTGTGTGTGTGTGTGTGTTTGTATACAATGTATTTGCTGTATTAAGAATGCATTATACACAGCATGAATGCCTATTCATTTCTTTCAGATGGCCATTATCATCTTGGCAGTTTTACTCTTCCTTGCTGCCATGTTGTTTATCCTGATGAACTGGTATTACCGCACAGTGTGAGTACTTTCTTTACAATCATTAGATTTTCACAGAAAGAAGCACCACTTCAAATCCTCTTCTGTCACTTGCCATGTTCACTCACTTCCTGTTCAATGCATAACCAGGTATCTGATTTTTTGTTTCTTGTTTTTAACAGGCACAAAAGGAAGCTGAAGGCAGTTGTTGCTGGCTCCAAAGGTAAGTTGCTGGGAATGTCCCATCCCTCTGTTTGGAGGAAGTGGAGACTAATCCTCACATGGGTTGAAGTTTAACAAACATGGCTTTGTGTTTGTTGTCAAGGTAAAGCATGTTTGGTTTTCTCTCTATCTACAGGAAATCAGGGGTTGATGGATATTCTGGATATGCCCAACACAAACAAGTACTCGTTTGAAGGGTGAGTGAGTGATACCATGGTGTTGTTGATATGAGCCTGTTTGCATATGTGTTATCAGAGCTCAAGACTGCTAAAATAATCACAGGTGTGGCAAAACTTAACATTCATACTATTTGAGATATGTTCAAAATACAATGTTGATTATCTTCTAACAGACTAAATTGCACAGTTTAATTGATTGCATCACAATGCATCTCTTTCTCTGTATGTGCTTGTAGAGCAAATCCAGTGTGGCTAGATCCTTTCTGCAGGAATCTGGAGATAGCGGCACAGGCGGAGCATGAGGATGACCTTCCTGAAGACTTAAGTGACATTGCTGACCTCTGGAACAGCCCGGCTCGCACACATGTAATAAACTCAAAAAAAAAAAAAAGCAATCTCAGAATCATGCCATGGTGCATTTATTGTCATCACAAGAACCTAGACCTTCTCTTTGTCTTCTCTTACCTTTGTGGGGTATTTAAGTGTCATCTTCACTTTATAGGGTACTAAATAAATATCTTGTCTTTTATAGGGTACATTTGGACGTGAGCCTCAGGCCTCTAAACCAGAGGATGACCGATATCTACGAGCTGCTATTCAGGAGTATGACAACATCGCCAAACTCGGGCAAATCATGAGAGAGGGGCCCATCAAGGTGAGAACATTCACTCCAAATCTGATATCAGAGCTACTAAATACATATGCATATCTCTTTATTTATACAGTTCTATATAGAGTAAATGATGCACAAATCTGTACATAAATCTACTGTTCCAGATTCATACACATTATTTATTGTTAGGTTTTACTATTTTTATTTTTTTTTATTTTTTTTCTGTTCTCATGTCAAATGTGTATGTATGCATGTATGTATGTACCAGGAGCACCTTAAAAAACCACAACAAATTCCTCGTGTGTTTGCACACCTGGCGAATAAAGCTAATTCTGATTCTGATTCTGATGAACCTGGCAAAGGTTGGAGAACATAAACATAGGCAAACCAATAAAAATCTTTGATAGCATTTTTGATAGAAGATGGGATCATAGAGCTTCAGTACTTTTTGATACTAGTACATAGACACAAATCTGAACTATAACATATTTCAAATGTATTTTCAGTTTAGAATCAACATTTATGGTGTTATTTTGTCTTAACCCAAACTATTTTGTCAGTTTGGGACCCAATATAATAAAATGTGGAGTGAGATCATGTTCTTAATGAAGTGAAATATCAGAATTGTGCTAAAGGATTCAGTTCATAAGACACTACATGACCAATGCTGCCATCCAATCAGGGCTCGCTGCTAAAGGTGGTTCTGGATGACTACCTGAGACTCAAAAAGCTGTTTGCTGCCCGCATGGTCACCAAGTCAACCAGCCACGGTGACCAGCCTTCAGTCACAGAGGTGGGCGATGTGACAGGGTGCTGTGTTTGCTCTTCCTCTACACCCTCTTCCTCACTGCTGGCTGACTACGTCTCCACCCTGTCCTATCAGTAGAAACCCTGGGTTCTCCTTCTGTCCAGAGTCATGTGACCCTGCTGATGTTTCTCAGGCTGTTTCACAGCCTGCTCACTGCTCTCCACTGCTTCACAGATGTGTTTGCTGCTCTCTGTGTTTCCTCTAAAACGTTTTTTTTGTTGTTAATGGTTATTTTTCTCCTTCTTCCTTACATTGTCTTGCATCCATCCATGCATCCATCTACCAATCCAATTCCATATATGTATTGTTGAATCCATAATATCAATCATCTATCACTCCATCTGTCCTTCCTTCTACCCAACTATCATGCATCCATTTATTCATCAATGCATCTACCAATCCAAAATTCCACATGTCCATCTATAATTGCATCCATCAACAATTCCATCCCACCATGCATTTATTCATCATGCCATCATTGCATCCATCATTCCTTTTATTCTCCCACATGCCTCCATCTATTCATCTACCTATCCATAAATCCATCTGATTGATAACTCCATCCCACATCCACACATTTATCACTCCATCACCTTCAAATCCATAAATGTATTCAACCATCCATAATTACATTCATCAACTAAACAAACCATTAATTCATCCAACCATTTACCCACTCGTCCATGCATCTGTCCATCCATGCATCCAACTACTATTGCATCTATCCATATTGCACATCCATTCATGACTCCATCATTCTGTTCATTGTTTTATCATTGTATCCTACATTCCTTGTATCCATTCACCAATCCATAAATGAATTCAATCATCCATCCACCTATCCAAACACCCAAAAAAAACAATCATCCATCCACCATCGATCCATCTAACCAACCAACCATAAACCCACCCAACAAACCAACCAACCATCTATCCATCCATTCATACATTCACCCACCCAACCTACCATCCATCCATCCACCCATGCATTCATCACTCCATCATTGCATCAATTCCATGCAATCATTTAATTCATCCATCCATGTTCTCCTCTCTCAGCTGATCCAAAGCGACCTGGATGAAGATGACGACGAGCGTGTTGGTGTCGGAGGTCGAGGAACCCTTCGCTTCAAGCACAAACTCCCAATCGAGCTCAGGGGTCCTGACGGGGTGCATGCGGTTCACGGCAGCACAGGCACGCTGTTGACCTCTGACCTCAACAGCCTGCCTGAAGATGACCAGCGGGCTCTGGCACGCTCCCTTGAAGCCTTGCATGCAGATGGCGGACTGTATGCCGAACGCAACGCCCGAACAGAATCTGCAAAATCCACACCTTTGCACAGAAACAAGGGCAGCCACACTCTGTCTGAGAGTCCGTTAGAGATCACAGAATTATGACTAGCCGAGGCCTCGCTGGTCTGAGAAAACTACAACGTGCATGGCACTCCTGGCTCTTTGTTTTGAATGGAAACTCTTTCCTGCGATGTGGAGAAGCGTTCAGGTTTGTAAGGGCCAGGTGTGAGGAGGGTGTGTAGATGTGTGTGTGGACCTGGAATGTACAAATCAAGGGCAGCTCATCTTGTCAGGGCTACTTCAAGAGTACTGACACTTTAACCGCACACAAACTACACAATGGGCAATGAATGCACTCTCAGACCAGTGGAAGGCCGAATACGGACACTAGTTTTTATTTAGTTACTTTTTCATATTTCAGTGGGACACCAGGGAATAACATGGTGATGTATGTGTATAATGAACTGCTTATGAGAGTATATCTCTGGGGCTTTTCACACCGCGATTAACCCTGGGTTAAACATTATTTCACACTTGGAAATTGAAAAAGGGTTTAACTCTGGGTTCTGAAGCTAGAACAGAGTTGGCACTGTTTATTGCAGTGCCATGGGTATATAGTGTGAAACAGTGCAGTGCTAGTAAACGTTGATGAGTTTAACAAATAGACAACCAGTTGTAAATGAATTTATTCAAATATTCATGCACTACGTATGGCTGCAGGAAGTATGTTTATTCGAATAGTCAGTGTTTAAAAATGTTGAACAATGATGGTAAACATGTTAACTGGAGAGAATAAGAAACAGTATTATTTTATTATTTTTGTATGTATATTGTTTTTCTATAGTGTTAAAATTCACAAAGCACGATTGCAAAGTTTCTCATTTTTTATGCAGGGGTCCCAAACAGTTCCCTTGTCTGCCATTGTTTTTTCATTTACATTGTAGTTTTGTATTGTTTTTAATCATCTTGCTAGATTATGCAAGTGAATACAAAGATTCTTCTGCCACCTAGGGGCATTTATATTAGAATAGCAGGGCTTCGTGTTTGTAAAATGTAAGTGTAAACAGATACTTAGAGCCTCATTTATGATACATGAACATTATGTAAATTGTCACTGAATTTAATGTGGTAATTTACACAAGAACAGTTTATGAATAATTAAAGAATTTTGTTACAGACCCAATATATTTAAGATGTAAACTCAAAGACGATGACTAAATTACAGTTCAGCCACATCAAAATGTATTGATTTAGAAAACAAGACTGCCGTTAGTTTCACTTGTGTCCAGAACAAGTCAGTGAAATGAACCGAAAGGGCTTACATTATAGTTCAGAAATGGCCTCCGATTGGTAAAAGAGTATCAGAGGTGGTTCCTGATTGGTTGAGAAGTCTGCGTTAGCCTGTGATTGGTGGATATCAGTCAGATCAAATTAGGGTTTGATTAGTTCTTCTGGTGGGATCTACATTATGTGGCACGTGATGTGGAGGAGGCACCAGTAAGAGGCATTTTCGTCAGCGTTCGGTTAAGCTACAGAAGATCAAAGAGGTACAATCAAAATGTGACAACATAGACGTTTCATTCAAAAACAGATCCATAAACTAATTTAACGAGGAAATAAATGGATAGAAATTTACAGAAAATCTACATAAATGTAAATGTTTAAAAATGATTCAAGAGCACGTACCTCCTCAAACTTGTGGATCTGTCGGATAAAGAAATCTCCATAGCGACGGGCAACCTTGGTGTCTGCAATATGGATCATATCCTGGTGGAAGACCAAGTAAATCCACTATTAGAGTGACTCGCCAGTAAAAAAAAAAACCTCCAGCCTACTAAATATTATTTTCAAAATAATAAGACAACTGGCATGAATATGGTAGCCCCATATTTAATCTCAGAAATTAAAAGTGTTCAATTTGGCAGTTTAAAGACAGAAACTCAACACACCTTGTCAATGTAGAAGTCGACCTCAGAGGCAGACTGAAATTCTCCATCCAAAGCGGAGATGCCACTGGTCCACACCAGGTTCTTCATCTTGTGTTTGAAGACCAGCAGCTGGATGCGAAACTCCTGCTCAGACATGTCCAGGAATCCAGCCAGTTTGGCCACAGGCATGGTGCTGTAGAGCTTCAGGAAACTGACAGAGACACATGGAGTCAGCAGAGGACATTTCAAAGTGAAGGAGAGCTCATTACACATCATCATAGAATTCTTGTTCTTCATCCAAAGAGACAGACCTGCCCTCAACATGAATAAGCTGCTGTTGTACCTACGGAAGGTGGAGAGCTGCGCCTTCTGCTGCACCTCCTCTGCAGACACCTTGAGCTGCTGCTGGAATGGTTCTTTGTGATAATTTGGATGAACATTATCATAATTTGGAACTACGGGTGACAGAAACTTGGGGCAGGCAAAGCTGAACAACTCCTCAAACACCTGAAGATCTCTGAAAAAGAGAAAAAAAAAACTTAATTGCTCCTTTTATTTTAGATGAATGTCTATATAAATTATACATGATATATTATCATTTTAAAATGTATGCTATATTGCATAGACTCTGATAAAAAATTTGGGGGAGAGTAAGGTTTTTTTTTTTTTTAAACATTAAATGAATCAAAAGTGACAGTAAAGGCATTTATAACATTACAAATGATTTTCATTTCAATTAAATGCGGTTCTTCTGAACTTTCTATTTAACAAAGAAAATTCAAAGAAATAAAAAACATTGAAATGGAAAAGTCATTTTAAATTGCTATAATATTTCACAATATTACTGTATTTTTGTTCAAATAAATGCGGTGAACCTAAGAGACTTCTTTCACAAACATAACAACAAAAAACAAAAAAAAAGTGTTACCATCCCCAAAGTTTTGTATGGTAGTGCATACATACATAACTCAGCATAATCAAGCATTATGTGTGTTCTCACCCTTTCTGCATGCGGAGCATCTTGTCTCCGTATTTCTCGCGCAGCTGTGTGTGAATGCTCTCGTCGATGCGCATGGGGTACATAGTGAGAGCGATGGCCAGCAGCCCGTGCATCTGCTCATTCTGTTTATTAATCTGTTCAGAAAACAACACACAATTTAGATTAAGCATCACACCATTATGACAGTACTGACTTAAAAGTACAACAGAATCAAATACAATCTTCAAGTAAAACACCTGGAATATTAATGCACAAAATGACAGCACCTTCATCAGGAATTACATTTTTTGCAATTTGTATGTAATCAGCATTATCCTTTTTACAGTAATAGAGTAATTTGAGCATTTTATCAACCAATACTGCAAAGACAAAAAGCACTGACCATCTCATACTTGTAAGTGGTTCTCTGGAACATGTGTCTGGTCCTCTGGATGTACAGCAGGATGTTGGCGAAGACACGAATGGCGTCCTGATAGCGTCTCATCATCAGATATGCGAAACCCACATAATAATAGGTGGTGATTTGACACTCGGGCACACGTGAATACATGCTCTGAAAAACACAAGATAACCAGATTTGATTTGATTAACAATGTTAGCACACTGCCACACCTCTTTTTTGTCTTGAGTAGGGATGTAACGGTATGAACATTTCCTATCACGATTATAGTGACCAAAATTATCACGGTTATCAGTATCAATCACGCTATTGTTAAAATGTGCTGGAGATGTTCAAAAAGTACCGACATATAAATCACTTCACCAAGTTTTATATTTGAAAATCAACAAACAACAAATAAAATGACTTTTTGTTTGCATAATCACTAAAACAATAACATTAGCAATGATGTTCGGATTTTAAATGATAACCTGGCTGACAACAGTTTAATAGCATGTTGAAATATCTAATGTAAATGTTCAAATAATGCTTTGAAAAAGTTTCATAAAAAGGTAAACCTCACATTTCAGCCTTTAAATAAAGAATAAAGATATAAGTCGAAATGATAATTAATTCATAAATGATTATATGTATTTTATCTGCGCCATAAATAATTCTAGATAACTTATCTGAATTGTTTAAATGTGTAGAATCCACACTGTTTTTCATCGACCGGTCAAAATGTACAGCAGGGCATGCAAATTCGGTCCGTTTTTGGCCAGACAGAAACCGCACACAGGCTGAATGTAAATATAAGTCTCTGTAAATCCACTCGCTGACAGCAGGTGGCGCTTATGGCAAAGCAGAATTAGAGCCGTTTCCCGTAACCTCCGTGGACAAAGCAGTATTGCGATTAAGAACACTTCCTTTAGGTATTACATGGAGCGAAGATGAAAACAAAATGCCATCGAATCGTTTCTGAAGACAGTCAGAACCTTCAGAGGTACATTCATATAATTAATAAATTAATTCATATATTTCCCTTAGCACTGTTTTAAAACCTCCCAGCTTTTCCGCCCTGATTTCACTCAAAACGAACCTACTCTGCTGCTGTGCGCACGTGAGACTGTTACTTAACACTGTGCTTTATGCTGGACAATATTTATTTATCGCGGGTTGTTCAAATCGCGGTAATCGAATACGGTTTTAATGATAATTAAAAGATGAAACGGTAATACTAACCCTGGGGAATTTTATCATGATTTATCATCAAACCGGTAATCGTTACATCCCTAGTCTTGAGACACTAGCACTCACTCAGTGACAATAGTGGGGTATTTCAAAAAAATCACGCAAATATGAACGTGGTTTTGCGCAGCTCGTCAGTGAACAACGGCTCTGTGTAGTTAATGCTGCTCAATGTGAAAGCATGCACGTGATGGAGATTTACCGCCGATTACAGAACCGGCTTTTCTGACAAGATCCGCATTAAATATCGCACGCGATTTATCGTGCAGCCCTAGTATTTTCTTACCTTCTTGTTGAGCTCGATGTTCTCCAGGACTTTGATGGCCTGATAGTAATCGCCCAGCAGAGAGTGACGCCTCAGCAATCCCACCAGACTGAAATAACCCAACATTTTATAGAGAGAGTGACGGCCGTATTCTCCAGCCACTGACTCTGGGTCACCTGTGACACAAACACCGGCGTCACACTGACATCTGAATTAGACGAACAAGAAACCAAGGCATGAGAGCTGGTTGGTGTCTTTCACCTCCGCTAGTGTACACCTCCAACTAACCGTTGATGTTGCTCTTGTCCACCAGAGAGTGAAGGACATTCAGCACGCTGTGAATGTTCCAGATTTTGGGATTGTTCCTCAGGAACTCGATCTCCTCCTTTGACTTCTTGGCCGTCTTACAGCGATACTGACTGAACGACTGGAACTGCAGAATGGAGAGAGCTCAGCACCTGCCATTCTTCACTTCTACACGAACACATCAGTAACACAGAAGGCGGCAGTATAAGAGGACTTATGAGGACAAAGGCTCTTCTCAACTAACTTACCTGGTAAATGAACTCATCAATTATATCCCATAACCACTGGTTAGGAAGCTCCAGAGGTGCTGGTCCATCAGCATCTGACAACATGAAACACATTAAATGTGCTGTTGTAAATCCATCAAACCCACTAAATTGACTACTTCAATGGACTGGCTGATCTAAACATAAAAACCCTTTGACAATATTCAAAAAACACAAACATTCTAAAGTACATTTTTATGTTAAGTTTTTTTATGACTGAAGCTGCATTTACTTAATTAAAAATACAGTAAAAGCAGTAATACTGTGAAATATTATTATAATTCAAAATAACTGTTTTCTACTGTAATGAATTTTAAAATGTAATTTATTCCTTTGATGACAAAGCAGAATTTTCATTATTATTATGTATTATTAATTTTAGCATCGTTACTCCAGTGTTCAGTGTCACATGATCCTTTAGAAATCATGCTGATTTGCTGCTCAAAAAATATTTATCATCAATGTTAAAAACAGTTGTGCTGCTTAATATTTTTGTGGAATCTGTGATGCAATTTAAGGATTCTGCAATCTACTGTCACTATTGATCAATTTAACGCATCCTTGCTGGGAAAAAAAAAAGCATTAATGCCTTTCAAAAGAAAAATAAGACTTATACAGACCCCAAACTTTTGAACAGTAGTGTATAGAAATAATAGCATATACTTTGACAAAATTTTAAAAACTACAATATAAAGAATGAATTCATTAAAATGTTGCTCAAATAGGAAGATACATTGTCTGCATATCTTAATATTTACGATTTTACTCTGAAGTGGCTCAAATTGTTTATACACTTAAAAAAAAAAAACTTTTTCCACAACACAAACATTTGAAATATTGCCCAAATTTAATTCCATCACATGTAAATGATGAGTTTGCACTCACTGAGAATGTAGCTGAAGAGGTTGCAATAATTGTAGTAGGACTCAAACCTCGGGTCAAGAGTTGGACCTCCCTGCATAAGAGAAAAAGCCTCATTATTGACAGTTCTTCACATCAGAGCTGAGACTCATGAGCTAAAACTATATTCACAAAGACTCTTGTTGTCATTCAATGAGACGGATGAGCAAAAACACTCACGCTGACTTTGGCGTAGATGTGCCTGTAATACAGCTTCTTGTAGAGGATCAAGAAAACCGCATCTGCAACAGACAAAACAGCATGCCCATGTCCATTCAATTCAGAGCTTCTGATTCCTCTCGTTGAGCAAATATCACTCACCGTTGCCAACCAGGGAAGCGATGGCATCTGCCTCCGGCCACGGAGAAGTCTTAAAGAAGCGTTCGGTCAGCTTGTTCCAGCTAAAATGAGATAAAAGCTAAATCAACATTTCCAGACGTCAGAACAACACAGTCGACAACCGTACGGCTGCGCACCTGTTCTCATACACATCCTGGATCTCGTAGATCTTCTGCTCAATGCTCTCGCTGGACACACGGTTGGCCTGCAGCTCGTACACCTTCTGATCGATCAGGTCTGAGATGGTTTTATGAAAATACTGCAGGAAGTTCTTGATGACCTCAGGGATCACATGATACGTCTGCTGGTGCTCATACTGACGTTCATACACCAGATCAGCTTTAGGTTCTCCTGCAAAAACACACATACACTTTGATAATAGTACACATTTACTCACTTATCAGTTTAGAAGCTATGCAATCCATTCGGCGGCTTTATTAAGATGACAAAAAGCTTAATATTACCAACGCATTAATAAATATAGACACCCATATAAAATGGCCATACAACAATATTGATCATCAATAACGTTACTTACCGGTGTGATAGTCATAATCACCGGGGCAGTTATAAGGGTCATACTGCAAACAAAAACATAGTTTAAATGATACTGTCTGATATTTTAGTAAGTCTGACATTTTAACATGAACATGCAGGTTGACTTTTGTAACGTTAATTAACAAAGGGAATGATAATGAAGTCTTATCGTGACGCTCCACTGATAAACATCAACACACGTTACACGCTTGAATCCCTCACACATGCTCTCGTGTCTCTACAGTCACGAGCACTCGCCTCTTCGTCGTCCATCGGGTAACTAGAGATGAGGAATGTTTATTCCTCTAATTGGTGTTTAATCTGTTAATAAACCTTTAATAAACCCCACGGCTGCCGCAGAGCACGACCGGAGGAGAGAGAGGAAGACCACTGCACATATTTCCGGTGACGCTTCGTAAGACTTATTAATTCAGACGCAATTTTAAACACTCAAATACAAAACATAATTGGCTACTGAAAATGTCTTACCCAGACAAGACATAAACATTATGAAACAAGACAAAGAAAATAAAGAATAGGAAATCAAAGAACTTAATCAAATAAACAACCCTTACGAAAATTAACCATTGTTTTACTACAAATAAAACCAAAACAACTTAGGATAGTTAAATCATGGAATACATGTGGTTAAACATATGGTTATCAATATTCCAAAAAAAAACAACATGATTACTACTCTTTTACAACAGTAAAACCATGGTTAATTTTCGTAAAATGTTCATAAATACACACGGGGACCAGTATTATTATTTTTTAAATATATATTTTATATTCCTCTATTAAATAACAGAATTTCAAGGCATTTATTAATGTCAGTGTTAAGAAATAATGACACAGTTGCTTGTGAAATATGTCGAAATTTGCTAACGTTTTCAAGGATCTATTCTTACATAAAACAATTTTCGATTGTAATTATAGTAATTACTAAATCACATTTTTTCATAAATATACCAAAGATCACATTTGACTTTTTCCCCCCTCTCTTTTAATTCAGTCAAATTTAGGAAATCCTCCCAAAAAGCAAACTCACAATCATCATCATCACAATCAAAATAAACTATGTGACACAATAATCCCTTACTAATAACAAAGACTGTATAATAACACCAACATAATGATACTGAGGAAATTCAATACCCATGAAATTGAAAAACTAATAAATTATTCAAGCTTTTGGTATTCTGTTTAATTTACTGTAGTAGTATATTAATTTAAAGATTATTATACTTTTTTATAATTAATAATAATAATAATAATAATTATAGGTATTATTTGCCGCATATTGGCATTTAACCAGCTATTTTTATGGTGATTGTTCTCTGATATAGAGCTGCATTTCCACATGTGTCCTGTAGATGTCGCAGATGTTCCTATAATTGAGGATTCACACCTGCCCATCAGATTCACTGTAACACAGCAGAGTTAGGCTATTTCAGCCAAGTTTTTATTGGCTTTTATAATGAGGTCAACTCACAAGACCAGTAATGAAACACCATGGATTACTGCGATTTTGTCAACAACAAGACACCCAATCAATATTTAGTGTAGAGCTAATGAATTCAGTTAGTGAACACGAGAGGCAAAAATAGAAAGTGTGCCCTTTGAATGAACAAAACTCTGAAATCCCACATGTGTAGCTTTGCCTCTGCGCTCGTGGGAATGGAAGCTGTTATGAGTTTCAATAACTGCTGCCATATGTCTACTTATTTGGCTTGAAGAGAATCGGAGAAATGCTGTTCAAAGTGTTTGTTTTGAATTACTTTAAGCTACTCTGGCATGTTAGTGCAAACAAGCCAAAGTGTTCAAAAAATTTAAAACACGCACAATGAGCTACAGGAGGGATTTTAGTGATGCATTGATTATTAATAGTGATGGTGCTTCTGCTGAAGATGATGGTTTTCTGTAAATGAAGATGGAAAGTGTTAAACATCAACATTTTACATAGATCATGTGTGTACCAGTGTTGGGGGTAACTCATTACAAGTAACGCGAGTTACGTAATCAGATTACTTTTTTCAAGTAACTAGTAAAGTAACGCATTACTTTTTGATTTGCAAGAGAATATCGGAGTTACTTTTTCAAATAAGTAATGCAAGTAACTTTTTTTTCTCCAATGTATTGATTGACAGCTCTCCTGTCCACATATTGAGAGAAATCAGAAGATGTTACTGTAGTTCTAAAATAAATATGAATATGCATTAATTCATCCCACTCACAAAAAAACACAGATTCAGTATTCCTCAAAATGAATAAAAATATGCAATAATTAAATGTTAAACACAAATATCCTTTTTTGCTTCTGAGCTTCGATGATCCAGTTCAAGCGTACTAATAAGCACAAATTACTCTAGACAAACATTTGTGTCTTTTTTTATTGCTGAAGTGTGTTGAAATGTCTTCTTCTGCATTCTAGTGTACGGACGTAAATTTACTTTCCCTTCATCCTGAGGCTTATTCATTTCACTTTTGGTGTGAAAAGGCTTTTATATTTGCCAAAAATATAACTTTTTTATTTTAAAAACAAACAAGCAAGCCCTGTCCGGATTTCAAAAGTAACGCAAAAGTAACGTAACGCATTACTTTCCATAAAAAGTAACTAAGTAACGTAATTAGTTACTTTTTTATGGAGTAACGCAATATTGTAATGCATTACTTTTGAAAGTAACTTTCCCCAACACTGGTGTGTACACGTATTCCTAAACAGTCAGAAATTACTTCATAATTATTTACCTCATGATTATATTGTTTTATATTTTATTATTATATTATATTACACAATAGGCTATTATATTATATTATATTATATTATAAACCAGTACAGCTTATCACTTCAGCCTCAGTTCAGCTTGTCACTTCCAAACAGAGAGTGATTTACGTGTGTTGTTGAGAAGAAAGAGCAGAGGGGGGAGAAGACAGAAGTTTTTCCCCCTCAGCTACCAGCATCTGTAAGAGATTCCACCCAAACTTACCTCCCGACTACAGCACGGGCATCCGATAAACACACACACACGGAAAGAGAGAGAGAGAGTCACACACTTGAGCAAGGGAGAGGGTCAAGACAGTCCAAACCGAGCGCTTCACTTCATTACGCACAGAGAAATCACGCAGAACACAATCCACGCCCGCGATACCGAGCACACATCAAGAGCTGTGAAGGGACGGGATTTAAGGAATTACGCGTCACGTTGGAGAATCGATCGGGTCTAAAGTGAGTTTGTGTGGATTTGGTGCGTCTGGAGAGCTGTGAGGATGCGCGTCTCGGTCCTGCTGCTGCTCTGCGCTCTTTACGCAGGAGACGCGCACAAACTCTCCGCGCTTACGGTGGGTCACCACACACTACACTTCACAATCAAGCTATATAATCGCTCACATTGATAGAACGATTGCTGATGAACAAATATTAATAATCTGTATGTTAAAATTATGTTTTATAGCATTTCTGACTGACTCTTTCAATGTATTTTAACCAATGTCCAGTAATACTATGAATATGTATATTTTGGTATATACTGCATAAACAAGTCTATTACTAACATGATGTCAACAGCACAAAAAAAAATTATATATGTATATATATATGTATATAGTTTTCTGTTTCATACATTTTTACATTATTAATGATAATAATAATTATATCTATCTATCTATCTATCTATCTATCTATCTATCTATCTATCTATGGTCTTCTGTTTCATACATTTTTGAATTTTTACATTTTTATTATTGTTATTAATTTTCAAGCCAACTTATATATAATAACAATACATTTCCCAATATTTCAGAGAAAGTGATTTAATTTTTACTCTTTAAATGTATACAGTGCAAATGTTTTAACTGGTAGTCTTTTTGTGGCACCCTCAAAATGTTCTTTTTTTTCCCCCCCGAGACAAATTATTTACACCAGTAAAAATCACTGGTATGGGTCAGATCAGGCAGAAATAATTCCTAATGTAATTTTATCAGTGTAGTAAAATATAACTGGTTTTGTCATCAGAATCAGAATTCATTGTTATTGGACAAGTCTGTTTAGTGTTTTTCACTCAAGGACAGTAAATATAGCAGTTTGAGATGGGTTTTTGCGATGCAGACTCAGCGCATCTTTGTGGTTGTGCTTGTGTGTTTGTTCAGTAAAACAAGAAGCTGAGACACAGAGTAAGGTGAGATGAGCAATCATGAGAATCCTATTTGGGATTAAGATTAGTGATGTTTGTGTACTCGCAATTCAGGAGGGTAACCAGAGATCCACAAGCTTTCTTTCAAACAATCACACACACACACACACACACACACACACACACACACACACACACACACACACACACACACACACACACACACAC